GGCTCCACTGCAGGTTGTTCCCTCCCCTTGCGCAGCGTCCTGGGTTTGCTGGACATCGCAGTGGAAGTGAACGTCACCTCCAGGATCAGGCTCACCATGGACAGCATGGGCTGCCCCAGGCTGGTGGCAGAGCGATGTGACACCCTCCTCGGTGGCATTAAAGTCAGACTCCTGCGAGGGTGAGTGATGGAGGTGCCAGCGTGGGACACCTCACCACCGGGCTTTGCTGGCCCCAGCCCGCACCCGCAGAACAGCAAAAGCACGAGGTCATTTCCCCATTGCACATCGTGCTCCCACGGGTGACTGTGACACTGCTGCCATCCCTGCAGGTGACAGTTGCTCATGCGTCATGTCATGGGGCGAGCAAAGGGCTGCTGGTGGGGAGGGTCCCCTGCACCCCTCATGCAGCCACAGCAAACAGACGTGTTGTCCCTGAGGGCTGTGTGATCCCGCAGCGGTCCCAGAGGGACGTTTCTGTCCCACGTGCCCTGTCCACGGGTCATTTTATCTGGCATTGCCCGGGGTCTTCTGAGACGTAAGCACTTGGCATGTGAATCATGGCAACCGCTCGGGCTGAGGTTGTTTCTGCTCGTTTGAGGAGGCTGTGCACCAGCAGATGAAAGGCAGCAACAAATTTCCCACTGGCTATTTTGGGATGCAAATCACACTTATCTCATGCAAAATCCAAGCATACACGATGCACTTTGCTGACGCAATTGCCTTGCTCCAGGAGGTCTGTGCTCCGCGCTGTTCACAGGGAATTGTTTAACAAGACCCATTTACTTTGCAGCAGGGTTTTTTTCATGGTGCTTTTTTATTTTTCTACAGCCTGCTCCCAATCGTGGATAATTTATTGGCAAATGTCCTGAACAGACTTCTTCCTAATCTGGTGAGTCAGAAAAAACTCCACCCCAGCACAGAGCAATGAGTCTGAAAAGCTGGGGTGCAGCTCCCCGTGGGTCCCGGGGCAGTCCTGCGCAAGTGCCCGGGGGTTTCTAACGATGCTCTGGACCATGTTATGGGCTAATGGAGTCTGTCCCCTCTCCTGAAAGCCCCAGGGTCTCTCCAGCCATTGCACGAGGTCTCCCAGTCCTCACCCCGCTTCCCCAGCGCAGGGCAAGGTGCCCGGGGCTGTATCCAGACCTGGTGCAGTGTCACCAGCCCCGTGGAGTCCCCAGTGGGGACTGCCATCCCCCGCACCTGGTGTCCCCAGGGCTGGCGCAGCAGAGCCCAGCAAGGCTGCACATCCTCGGTCGGCTCCGATCACGGGTTCTCACTGTCCCCCCGACTCTTGCAGCTCTGCCCGGTGGTGGACGTCGCCCTGGGACTCGTCAACGAGAAGCTGGGTCTTGTGAACTGTAAGTACCGGGGGGATCCCACGCCTGGCCCTGCCTTGGCCCTTGTGTCACCTCTGCTCTGGCCATGTGAAGACTGTGACACCATCCCCCCCACCACTGCACCCCAGGCAGAAAGAGAGACATCCCCCCTCCCCAGCTTCACCTGCAGATGCCAGGTCTACCCCATGCCAGGAGTGGGGACCCCCAGCAGGTCCCTGCCCAGACCCTGTCACCCCCAGCAGCAGACCCTCCCTCCCCATCTCTGATAGCAGATGGAAGGATCCCAGGTGCACAAAGGTGGCACCGAGGGGGGCTGTGGGCTGTCCCCCCCATTTGCAGCAATGTCACACACTGCTCATTGGGGGAACGACGTCTCCTGCGGCATTTACCGCTCAGCACAGAGCACACGGAGCCGGGGACAAGGGGCTGCCTGGGTTCACCTGCATGCCAAGGGCGGGGTATTTGTACCCCAGCCCTGCAGGGAACTCTGACTGCCTCCCTCTCCCCAGCACTGGTGCCACTGGGCTTGCTGGGCAGCATCCAGTACACTGTGTCCAGCCTTCCCCTGGTCACCGGACAGTTCCTCGAGGTGGACCTGAACGTAAGTCCTGCACCCAAGGGTTGGGACGTGTCACTGGGGTTTGGGATGGGCTCCTTGCGCTGTGACCGGCTTGATGGGGTCATGGCCCCGTGCCCAGCTCCTGCTGCCGCCGTCATGGGAGAGCGCGGCGGGGTTCACATTTCATGAAATTCTGGAGAAGGAAGTGCCACGGGGCTTGACGCGGCATGGTCGTGCGTGCAGCAATTTCACACCGAGGGAGCGTGCAGTTGACCATAAAGGCAAATATTGCAAACGCCTTGGCCTGTGCTTCCTTCCCTGTCACTCCAGACCGCCGTCGGGCGTGTGGCAGGAGGGCTGGGGGTATCCACTGGGAAAGCCGGGAAGCGTCCCCACCCCTCCGCGGGTCCCCATGCCACCGCTGCCACCCATGGTGGACACCAGCTCCTCCCAGCTGGGGCTCTCGGTGAACTTCCTCCACGCGGTGCTGGCTGTCCTGCAGCAGGACGGGGCCCTGGACCT